GCGCCACCAGCCAGGTGCGGTGCAATCCCGAGAACTGGACACACAGCGAAGCCACCAGAAGTCGGCAGTTACGGCTAATGTCTTCCTTCTCCCTCGGACCCCAGGTGCCAGGCGGCGGCCTCTCCAGCAACGTCCCCGCGAAGGTCAGGAGCGATGCCACGCGGCCCCAGCTGGGGCCCTGGTCGTCAGCGAGTAGCTCCTGCGCCATCCTGGCCACCAGCTCGACGCGGTCCCCGCGGAAGCCGCGGTAGTAGGAGAAAGTGCGAGTTGTCCTCCTGTATCTGGGCGGCCACGCAGCGCTGCACGGCGGCCTCGGGCGTGGACGGCGCCTGCGCGCAGTACTGCAGGTAGCCGGTCAGCAGGCGGGCCGTGCGCTCCCGTAGCCCATCCGCCATGGCTCGCCCTCTGGCCCGGCCTGGCGCGGCTGGCCTGTTTTATAGGCCTGTTCCATGCCCCGCCCCGCCCCGCCCCGCCCCGGGCAGTTGCTTTTTCAGATCTGGAGAAGAGACTTTGATAGGAATCTCACCTACACCTGTTCTGGTCCCAATTAGCGAGGCCTAGCGGTGTGCATTGTGTTCATGTAGCAAACAATGGCAGAGTGAGACTCTTATGAGGGTTATTGTTTAGCTCTCAATTTAGGCACTGAGAACTCAGAGGGGACAGTCTGGGAAGTTGGGCTAGACTTTTGCCTCCTCTTAAGGAGGGGCTGACAAAGGCTACACACAACCCTACACTGGCGGCTCCCTTAACAGGATTATCAGCATCTTCTCGATTGGATGGAAGCGTCCAAGTGTGTTGGTGATACCTTTCTTTGGGTCTGGCACACGTGGCAGGAAGGATAATTCTCCTACAGGCTGCTAGAGTGCCCATATTGGCTGCATTCATTCATTCATCCACTCATTTACTCTAAGTCTTGGGGGGCTGTCTCCCCTTTAGCACTGGAGATACAATGGAGTACAAGACATGTGGCCTCTGCTGTTAAGGACACTGCAATCTAGTGATGGGACAAAAAAACAGGCAGTTTAACAGTAGAGTTACATTATCGGTCTAATACAAGTTGAGGGAGTACCCACCTCTACGATAGTGGCTGCTTCTTAAAGCTACCATCCCTGTATTGCTTAGAATTTTCCACTTTTTATTGGCCAATTCCCTCATTAATCCAATTCCCTATTATAGTTAATACTTCTTACACTAATCTTTCTCTGTTCATGTTACTTTATGGCTTCTTTCTCCTGATTGGACCCAGACTGACACAGAATTGGCACCAGCAGTGAAATTTGTGAGGATTCATTGGTCTGGAGCATTTTGAGGTATCCTCCTCCCTACCCCCAGGGAAAGGTGAGTTGCTGCATCTTTATCATCTGCAAGAAGAAAGAGGTCTTGGTAGGTCACTTTGGAGGCAAGTGTACACACACGGGCTTGTACCCTCAACCACCTGCAGGCTGGCTGATTGGGGAGCAGAACAAGAGAGGGCTCTGCAGCCCGCATAGGCAGTACCAACTGCTCTACACTGGGTCTTATGATCCAACAGACCCAATGGCGGAGCTGTAAGGAGCCTCTGACAAGCACCAACAGAATGACAGTGCGGACCTCTAGGAGCCTGAGTCAAATCTGTCTTCTTCTGCAGATAACTGTTCTCCTTTTGAGAAGCAGGTTCTGGCTTGCTACTGGGTCTCAGTAGAGGCTGAATGAGGTGACCATGCAGCTTCAGCTCTCTTCATACTATGGACGTTGTCTCACCTACCATGTTATAAGGCTGGGTGTGCACAGTAGCAATCTGTCATCAAGTGGAAATGGCATTTAAGAGGCTGGACTCAGGCAAGTCCATTGGGTACAAGTAACTGCATGAGCAAGTGGGTCCAACTCCTATTGCTTTGCCTCCTCCCTCATCCCATGCCTGTGGCCTCCAGGGGCTTGCTTATGACCAATGACTGAGGGAGAAGAACTCAAGCCTGGATTACAGATGGGTCTGTATGATACGCTGGTACACACGGAAGTGGACAGCTGGCACATTACAGCTCAACTTGGTGGGGGGGGGTTGTGAAGACAGTGGTGAAGGAAAAGCCTCCCAGTGAGCAGAAATTCAAGCAGGATATCTCACTGTACACTGTGTCTGGGCTGAGAGATGGCCAGAGTACAGATCGACATTGTTTCATGGGCAGTTGCTGATGGTTTGGCTGGATAGTCAGGGCCTTGAAAGGAAAAGACAGGAAGATTGGTGACATGGAAATCTTGGGAAGAGGTATGTGCCTGGACCCCTCTGAACAGGTACAGGTTGAAGATATTCATGTCCCATGTCAATGCCTCCAAAGGGCAGCCACCACCAGAAGACTCTTAGTCATCAGGTAGACAAAATTCTGTGCTCTGTGATTTCAGAGAGCTTCTTTACACAGCTTGATGGGCCAGTGACTGAAGAGGCCATGCACCAGGAAGAGAGGATGTGGCAACAGCAGAATTCCTCCCGCGAAGGCTGAACTGGCTAACGCTACAGCCGGGTGCCTGACTGGGCACCGCCAGAGATTCCTCTATGGAGAGCCAAATGAATTTTGTCAGAGGGAATACAAATCTCTGTACATCAAACTGAATTGGTTGTGACATCTTACGAGTTCCCTCATTAATTGATAAGTTCAATAAACATTTTGATATATGTTCATTTTTTTTTTGCAAGGGAGTCATGCATTTATCTTTTTGATTTTTTTTATCTTTTTTTCAGCAGCAAGCATAGTTTTAGATTTGGAGTTGCTGGGGGTTAGTGGTAACTCCTCTGGCCCTGCCATTGGTTAACTCTAATAATTATCAGTTGAATTAAACAAGAAATTAATACATTAACCTCCACACAGAATTTCCCATCCAGTTTGCAGTCAGATTTGGTTGCAGTCCCGGCTCTGCCGCTTAGAAGCTGGGTGACCATGAGCAAGTTGTGCAGTTCTCCTTGCCTCAACTTCCCCATCTAAGAAATAGAGGCAGAAGTGGTGGCGTATAGCTCAGTGGTAGAGTGCATGCTTAGCATGCATGAGGTCCTGGGTTCAATCCCCAGTAATCATGCTAGAAAAATTAAATTAAATAAATAAACCTAACTGTCCCTCCCCCCCAAAAGAGATGGAGGTTGTAAACTGTCTGTGTCATAGGCTGTTACAAGGACTACCTGAGTTAGTATGTGCAAAGGCCTTAGCATAGTGCCTGGCACATAGCAGACGCTCTTTACAATGCAGCTTTTATTATTAGTATGAACTGACCAGGGTTACCAGGCTCACTTGTCCCACTTTTAACCAAAAAACCAAGATGTGACGTTTTGGTGAGCCTTACCTATATGGCTTCCGGTTTTGTTTTTAAATACTAAAAATAGCTAGAAGCCACCTACAATTTCTCCCCATACATTTTTAACAGCTTTCTTGTGATATGATTCATATACCATAAAATTTACTCTTTTTAAGTATGTATTTCAGTGGGTTTCAGTATATTGAAAGTTAGTGCAACCATCACCACTGTCTAATTTCATTATCACAAAGGAAACACAGTCCCCTAGCCCTAAGTAACCAGTAATTTATATCCTGTCTCTATGGGTTGGCCTGTTATGGACATATCCGTATAAATGGAATTAGACACAATGTGGTCCTTTTTGACTGTCTTCTTTCACTTGGTATAATGTTTTCATCCATGTTGTAGTATGAATCAGTACTTCATCCCTTTTTATTGGCTGAATAATATTGTATGGATATACCGCATTTTGGTCAACCATCCATTCATCAGTTGTTGAACATTTGAGTTATTCCACTTTGAGCTGCAATGAACATCTGTGTTCAAGTTTCTATGTGGGCATGTTTTCATTTCTTTTGGATACAGACCTAGGAGTGGGAGGCCACCTATTACTGGGGAGCACAGATAGGCTGGAAACAGTGACTCCTGGTTCAGGACAAAGTGAAGCCTGCACCAGTGGTGTGTTGGTTAGGTAACCTTGGGTTCAAAGATAGTCATTTCCTGTTGTCACAGTCTTTGTGTAAATGTTCATCCCATATTTACATTAAATTTTCCATATTTATGTGGTTAAATTAACCAGTGCATTGTTTCTGATCCCACTCCGTCACGAGAGGGTCTACATCCTTTTTACAATGACGGAAACATATTCATTTCATTTCTTTCACCAGAATTAGCTGTGAGCCAGCCTGCTGTAGAGACTGACCAGTCCTGAAGGCCAGCCTAGCTCCAGCCAAGTCCTGGCTAGAGAAAGAGGGGGGTCCGTGAATGCCCGGAAGAGTGACCCGATTCTCCTGTATCACCAGTGAGAGGTTTAGCTGCACACACCCCCAAAGGATCCACAGAGACAGGAAGATTCACCAGAGCTTTCCCCAACTTGCTTCCTCCTCAGAACTCCTGGCCCACCTCAGGCCTGCCTGGTCCCAACTCCAGGAGAGGGGCCTTAATTTAAGGTCTGTATTTTTAGCCTGCTGTTGGGCCAGAGGGCAAGTTTGGGAAATGCAGATCTCCAAATCCCAGCTCAGTCAGCTCCCCAGGCTTGGAGGGAAGCTAGTTGACAAAGATGTGGCTCCAACCCCAACACCAGTCAATCTTCTAATTTATCAGAATCTTAGCCCAGAATCTCAAGGTTTCTCCTTCAAAAAGATTTTCAGTGACTCACAGGCCTCCATCAGTCTCTCGCCTTTCCCACTCACTCTCTGTGCCCGCAAGGACCCTCCTATGCTGCCCATGGTCGTGGCTGCCCCAGAGCCTCCCCGTGAGTCTGCCTCTCTCAGTTACCTTCCTCTTCCTCCTCCTTTTCCGGGGCTCCTACACACCAGGGCCTGAATGGCCCCAGGGCGGTCTTGCATAGAGGGGCCGGAAAAGGGCTCATTAGCCCAGGTAAGTAGCTCTGGCCCTGGGAGTCCTTCCCAGGCTCCTCCAGGAGCAAAACTACTTTCATAATAATACTGACTCTTTTGTGGTATGTGTAGCTTTGAAAACTCCCACTTTCTCTGGAGTTTTCCAAAGGCCACTGATGTGTGGTGAAAGGATCACCAGTAGAAGGTGTGCTTCTGTGTTCCTGTGTTTTATTTTTCTCAGTTTTAATTTCTAATATGATAAATATTGATAGATATAATCCACATAAACCTCTTTTTGGGGTCCTCAGTAATTTTTTTAAGAGTGTAGAGGGATCCTAAGATGGAAAACTTTGAGAACCACTGGCCCAAGTGAACCTCTAATTGATGGTAATTACTAATCTGATGCATGCGTGGGGAACCCTTATGTGGAGGGGACAGGAGAGAAAAGAATGAACAAGGAGGAGGAGAGGAGGAGGGGAAGGAGGGGAAGGGAACAGGAAAGGGAGGAGGGGAAGGGAGGAAGCAGGGAACTAACCCTTGTTGAAGATGCACCAATGGCTGAGGTGCATGCTTTACACACTTTAGGGCTGTCCCATTTCCTAGATGAGGAAACTGAGGCTGAAAGAAACTTAGATATTACGCCTCCTGTAAAGCTGGTGGAGATGCCTCTGAACTGAGGTGCACATACTTTGTCCTCATGCTGTCCCCCTCTTACGGATGAATCCCAGTCTTAGCAGGACCACTTTCTAGCCAGATGGCCGAGAAACTATGAGAGCCCGGGATGCAAAGGCCTTTACAACCTGTGCTGTTTTTAAGCCACTTATAATCCAGGGAAAGGTGTGGAGGACATCAAGGGTGGGAAGAGGGAAGTGGATATGGAGGTCCTGCTCTCGCCTCTGGCTCATTCCAGAAGAGGACTGGCAGTCGGGCCCCACTTCTGGGAGGCCGGCAGCCACTCCCTCCAAAGCAGCTGCTTGAGTTTCAGTTCACAGGAATTTCCCACAAGCACCCGTCAGCACATACCTCCTGTCTGACCCCTCTACCTGTCTAACCCTTCTCTCTCTGGCTGCGAAGGGGGGCGTCCAAGGATATGCACACCCAGGGGCACATCTGTTTGGCCCCTTCACCACAACTGGTTTGGTAGGTTTGCTTCCAAGTCCTCTAAAAAAAAAAAAAAAAGAAAAAAAAAAAGAAAACCTGGTTAAAAAACTCCACTCAGCACTATTTTTAATATGCAAAATACAATTTATTACCTGGAGTTTACCCTTGAGACTCCACATGGTGTAGTATATTCCCAGCCAAGGATTGCCTCAATAAATACTCAGCACCACCTACTGTGACATTAAATGCTTATAAGGGACTGGGTTACTGCCCATGGGGGTGAGTGAGTGAGGGAACACTCCCACAGGGCCCCGAAAGTCACTTTTTTGACTGGAAAGTTAGGGGCTACTTTGCAGACATAGTGAAGACGCCCTCCATCTCTGAACATATAACCTTGAATTTGCTTCCCCTGAGTCTGGGTGACTTTTCCTTCGCCCTGACTTCCTTCACTTCTGGGAGGCCCACATCGGGATGCAGAGACACGAAAGGGTCTGTGGGAGAGAGAGGAGGGGATGCCATACTAGGAGCCCAGGAACAAACTCTGGAACATTCTGGGAGCCAAGATGGGGAATTTCACAGGGGGCCTGACCCCTGCAGCAGCTGGCAGGAGCTGGGTAGCCCCTGTGCCCATTTCCTGGAGCCACTGCCCAGACTGGAAGCCACTAGGGGGAGAAGGGGGCTGAAAAGTGGTCCCTTCGGACCACACTCCCTCCCCCTGCCCTCTGGGCTCTCAGGGTGGGGGTGGGGTGGTAGGCAGGGGCCTTGCATTTTTTTCTCCCCCCACCCCAGGGCCTACTGTGTTTT